AAGTGGTCCTCCGTGACGTTAAGTTCCTTACAAAGTTCAGTCTCCAGACGCTTGAAATACGACTGGTATACAGACGAAATACCTGATGGTAAGATGCTGTCCAGCAGTTCAGGGGTTAAAACTGGCACTTCCTTCTTTATGAAATCTGCCAGGTAATGTGCGTATAGCATGACTCCCTCTGACTTTTGAACCAGCGCTTGCAAGATGATTTCTCGATGCTCAGATTGCAATAAATGGCCGAGTCGCTTTTCAAAGCAGAATTGAATATCCTTCACGTTCTCTTCAACGTTTGGATCCAGCTGCAAGGGGCGCAAATTCTTTAGAGTTTCTGCTACGTTTCTTTCCGGTCGCGTTGTCACCAGAAATCGAATCCACAGTGGAAGACTTTGGAAGTAATTAGCAATTACGTCTACAAGCTCATTTCGTCCCTGGAATTCGCTTTCGTCCAGTCCATCTATTACCATCAGATAGGTCAAACCAGGGTCGTTCAAGCTGGCTAGAGGTTCTTCAAACAGCACTTCGAACAGATCCATCACCTCCATGTTGTTTATCTCCACACCCAGATTTCTTGACAGCTTTTCTACGAGAGCTTTCTTGTAGTCTGGCAGAGAATCACACAGCTGACTGGCTAAAGACTGTAGCATCACCTTGGGATTCCTGTGGCGCGCCCTGCCATGCTGACAAAAGTGGCTTCCGGCTAGCCGCCCAGCTTCTTGCATCTTTTCACACATAACGGCTGAGATTACAGACTTCCCCATCCCAGCATTTCCACTGATCACCATCACACGATTTGGGCAACTTCTGTCTTCTAACCAACTCTCGACTTCGGCTAGGATTGACAAACGCGTTCCCTCTACGTATCTGTCGGCGTGATCTCTTACATTCTTCAAGGTATCAATCTTAGCGAGTTTCTTGAGAATTTCGTTTTCTCTGTGCTTTTCTCTTCGCCCTTCAGAGTCTTCACCTCTTTCCTTCAAATCTTGTCGCATAGCTTCAAAGTGTTCATCTTGGGCTGTCAATAGCTTCTCGTGGCTTTCTTCTACTCTTGACTTTGTCTCCTGAAGTATCTGATGGAATTCTTCCTGTCTGTCGAGCAGCTTCGCAACTCCCCTCTCTGTGTTCGTTTGCCTCTCACTTATTTTCTGAATTACTTTGCTATCATCAGTTTGAGTTTCACGAACATTTGTGACAACTTGATGTGTTTTTCTCTCGATCTGAAATACCTCTTGTAGCTTCATGTTGCTATCTTGAATTGTCCCACGATCTTCTAGTTGTTTTTGACGTACTTCATCAACAATTTGCTGTGTTTGGATCTGGGACTGGCGTACTTCATCAACGGTTTTCTGTGTTTCAGTCTGGGACTGACGTACTTCATCAACAGTTTGCTGTGTTTGGATCTGGGACTGACATACTTCATCAACAGTTTGCTGTGTTTCGGTCTGTACCTGATGTACTTCTTCCAGTTTCTTCTTGCTATCCTGAAGTATTCTACGATCCTCTAGTTGAGTCAAATGCACTTCATCAACAGCTTGTTGTACTTCGGTTTGAGATAGAAGTATGTCCTCCAGCTGTGACTTAATATCCTGTTCGCTGACAGACCATTCGCATAACACACCTATGTAGTCTTCCTCTCCACCATGCTCTGCCTTTAATCTATCAATTTCTGCCTTATCCAAGCCGAGACCATGAAGAGCGCCACTAATTTGGCGCCAAAAGGCATTGAAAGTAGGTGTATCAATACCGGTAGTGGTAATATGATCGTACAACTCATTCCGGAAAAACTTGATGCGAGCAAGGTTTGCCTCACGAGAGTGGTCCCTGGGGTGTGGTTTCCTGTGCCACCCTCCATGGGGAGGAGAAAGTCCACAAATGTTGGTCAGGAGGAGGAACAGAAGAGAAATGTCAAAATTCTTGGAATTTGGGAGGCCTCCTCCAGTTGGGAACAATTTGTTCCACTGAGGTGTATGCAAATGTCCATCCCTAAAGAGGTCATTGAGAGTACTATAGTGGCTGTTGAGGCTAGTCGCCAGACGTGATGGAGGATAATACTGGTCAAAATGTTTCTTTAGAACTGTTGTTCCACCATCAACGAGAAGTCTGCTCAGCTTGGCTCCATTTGTCCTCTCCACAGAGCTTGCCAGGGGTGAAGGTACAGCAGTTGCCATCTTCAACCAAAGTCAAGCCTTCAATCGTATCTGTATGAATAAGAAATAGCTTTACCTTCTTTCGCTCTTTCACGCGGGCAAATATTACATGCAGTGAAATTGGTTGAACTCTCTGGGTGCAGGGCAGTTGGAGGGGGGGGCGG